GAAAAAAAAAGAAAAAGAAAAAAGAAAAGAAAAGAAAAGAAAAGAAAAAAAAAAAAGAGTCAGTGTAGGCTGGGGATATAGCTCTCTAGTGTAGTGCCTGCCTGGCAAGAATGAGATCTAGAGTTTGATTCCTAGTACCAAAAAAAGTCAACGTAGATTTAATGAAAATAATTTGTACCTCCCTTCCTCAAATTTCCATCATAAAATAGTCTGGATTTTTAGATCTAGTGGACATTTTTTCAACTGCCAAGAGCAATAGGGCAAATGAGTTCAACTCAGTAAAATATTTACCTGCAGAATCCATCAGAAAGCTCAACAGACCTCAGGAAGCATGCTTTGTAGTTCCATTACCTCAAACTTCTCCACTGACATATTTCTTTAATCCAATTCATGAGTATTGGACACTCAACCAAGCATAACTGCTCCCAGTCTAATGCAACCAGCAAGTACTGGTTACAGACCTATCCTACACAAAAACTCTGAGGAAGTGTAGGATGACTACTCAGATACCTTCTGTAGCTGATGGCACTGTGGCAGGCACCGAAAACTTTGACCCAGGCTTTTCCCTCAGGCTAACAATCTGATAAACATATGGGTAATAATGATTAATCAGCTCAAGTACTTCTTATGTGACAGGCACTGCTTTAGAGCTACTGACTGCTTTATTCTCAAAATCCTGCTCTATTGCCCAGTGTTGCTCTTCAGCCCATATGAAAGGTGAGAAAACTAAAACTCAGGTCAAATAACTTCCCAAAGTTACACAGAAGGAAGAACACTGCTGGTATTCACACCCATGCAGTCTGGATTTCAATCTATTCCTCTATTAGCACCCATACCTACAAGCAAAGACTCCTACATACCATGGTGCTCAATGAACAAATAACTAGGGGAATTAGAATATTAACATAAGTAACACAAGCAGAAAAAGTGTTTTACTGGAGGTACTACAGGCACAGACAGGAGGAAAGTACTGTACATTAATTCTGACTGAAAGGGTCCAGAGAAAGTGAATCTCTGAAGGGAAAAGGACAGGGCATTTCAGGCCTAGAGGAGCAAAGGACCTATGTGACAATGATGCAGTCTGACATGACAATTGAGATCTTGAGATCCTATCTTCTGGCTAATGGTATGTAAGCAGATAGAAACAATAGGTACTTACTTCTCATTTGTTATACTGTACACAACACAAGCACTAAAAAGAACAGTATATTTTATAATTTCTAACCTGGGGGTAAGTAAAAATAAAAGAAAAGCAACACCACTGGTGAATAATGGGAATGAACAGGGGAAATCAATATGGCCAGAGGAAACAACCAAAAATATTCCCTTGCTGATTCCTATAACATCTCTTAGGAAAACCACTCATCCACTTGTGTCCCCCAACTGTGCTAAATTGAGAGCACCTAAGTATCTCAGGCCTTTTGCAGCTCTTACAGTAGTCACCACAAGCTCAGGAATGGATTCCACACGGTATGACCTTGGCCAAAATTATCAGTATCTAGGATAGATCACAATAAAATCTCAAGAACCAACATTTTTCTTAGGATGACATTTTCTAAGACTTAGCCTCACTAATTCCAAAAGTACAAACCATCCTACCACCTGACACCTAAATTGAGCGTTTCAATTTACCATGTCGATCTTTAGTACTTTAAACTTTCACACATTTCTGGGGTAATGAAGCAGCAAGATCCCAAGTTTGAGCTCAGCCTGGATAACTTAGCAACTTAGTTAGATCCTCCCTTAAAATAACAAGTAGGGGCCGGGGAGATGGCTCAGTAGAACAAGTGCTTGCCTGGCAAGCGCAAGGGCCTGAGTTCAATCCCTGGTTCCACCACTAAATAAATAAATAGTAAAAAGGGCTGGGTATATAGCTCAATATGAAGGCCCTAGGTTCAATATCTAGTACTGCAAAACATTACTTTCACATAACAGGTCTTTCACTATTTCCAATTTTTCCTTTTTTTGAGGTACCAGGGCCTGCATATTGAGTTATATCCATAACTTTTTGTTTTTTAAACTTAAATTTTGAAACAGGGTCTTACTATGTTGCCTAGTATGAGCTCAGACTTGCAATCCCTTCTGCCTAAGCCTCCCAGAATGTTGGGATTACAGGTGTGTACAAACATGTCTCGTTTATTTCCAATTTCAAGTGAAGAAAAGAGCTTTATACTAATCTTAATTTCAGCAGCGTACATGAAATGATTCTACACTAGAATTTCCAAACACAATTTATCAAAGACTGTCTTAGCTGTTCACGGATGACACGACTGTAATTCCAGCTACCCAAAAGGATGAGGAAGGACTGTGAGTTGAGGCCAGCCTGGGCAACATAGTGAGACTCTCATTTCTCAAACAACAACGAAAAGAAATAAGTAAACCTCTACTTAAGTTCCTTCAGATAAATTAAAATCCCCAGATAAATTGAAGGTCCAACCATGGAGCACTATATGAACCTCTGATTAGTACAACAAACACTGAAATAAACTAGTATTTAAATTCTCAAACATACAAACTCCAATAACTTCCCCTTTTCAATGTTTTACTTTACAAGTGTCCCTTTGCCAGGGAAGACAAGGTCTGGCAGTTGGGTTCTGGGCTCTTCCCTAGTAGATGCAGCTTGAGTTTCTCAAGCAAAAAAGTGAAATACAGAAACACAGGTTTAAAAGGTTTTTAATATATATCATTCTGTGATATTTATTAGCTTTGCCTTTAGTAAAAATGATAAAATCACAAACTGAAAATGATTTAAGTCATCCCCTGATGCAACAGAAGGCCCAGTCAGAAACCATTGCCTCTTACTCCAATGAAAACCATGTTTATTTTTTGTTTGTTTGTTTGGCAGAACTGGGGATTGATCTCAGGCCCTTGCACTTGCCAGGCAAGCGCTTATTCTAGTGAACCATCTCCCCGCGCCGAAAACCATGTTTTAAATGACAAAAAGTTTCACCTTTTTTCCTTTTCTTGATATACCTTATGTAAAACACTCCTATCTTAACTATGTGATAATTCAACAAATCATACAAAGATTTGCTGTTTTTGTATGCTTGCTGGACTATAGTAAAAAAAAGTTAAAAAATAGCTCATATTTAAATAAATAAGTAAATGGTATTTCAAGTAAAAATAGCATGAAATCGGTTTCCAAGTTGCTTACACCCCCGCACTACCTGTAACCACTTGACAGAACATAAGCACCAGAAGACTCCATACCTGCTTATTAAATTCTGCTGAATGTCCTCACAAAACCCGGCTGCGGTGGCCAGTATGGGGCCAGCTCTCCTAGGCTCTCAGCAGCAGCAGCCTTATTTGCTGTGCTGTCACGTGAAGGGGCCTCGACCTGGCCAGATACCTGGCAGCCTATTATCCTAGACTTCAAAGAGCATATGGGTGGCAGGGGGTACACATAGCCCAGGCCGCTCCCTCGGTCCCTGCTCCATCCCTGTCATGATGTGGCCCACTGGTTTTGTTCTCCGCGGACAGGAAGAAGCGCAAAGCTGGGCCACACTTTCAGCGTGGGCTGCAGCTACCGCTGGTGCGTGTTTTCCAGGACGCAAAGAAGGCGGTTGAGCAGGCCAAGGAGAAAGCTAGGAGAACGCTTGGGTCACCTCAATGTCCCCCACACAGGCTCTTTCTCGAGCATTGGGACTAGCATCCCAGAACCCGTTTGGACACCAAACGTAAGCCCGGTTATCTCCATCCCAAACACACCTCCTACCCACCCACAGCCACCCTCTGAGGTAACCATTCCCCGGGTCTATACCAGAAGGGATCCTAGTCACCTGAAGAGAGAGGAGCGCAACCTGGAGGAATTCCGCACACAGATAAACTCAGGCCCGGCAAGGGGCTTTTACCATACTCTGCGCCCCCACCCCCATGGTTCTTAACTAACGCCTTTCGTGGCCCATCCCGCCCCGCTCCCTCCCCCCCTCTGGGGGGTCCTAAACTGGCTCCGCTCGGGAACTCCGAAGGCCCTACCTGAAGGACGGTGGTTGGGTGGCAATGTCCGCGCAGTGCCCGACTCAGTTGTCTTCCCGGGAAGCAGAATGCCCCTCGAAGTCCCCTCAGCCCGAGCGCCGGACCCGAAACTGCCGCGGCGCTCCATCAGAATACGCCGGCCGCACAGGCGCACTGCCCAGCCCGCCGCGCCACACCAGTTTCGCGCACGCCCGCACGCGCACGCGTTCTAACAGCACGCGCGCACCTCTCCCTCTGGCGGGCTACGCCGCACGAGACCCTCGCGCACCCGCATGCGCATCAGCGTTCATAAAAATAATGCGCGTGTGCGCATGCGCAGTGTGCACGTGCTATGGGCCCAACGGTTCTCACGCCTCACGCAGCGTGCACGTGCAATACGCTCAACAGTCCTCCCACAAGGCACCCGCGGGTCCTTGCGGCTCACGGTATGTAGGATGTACAAACGAAATCTGAACGCACGTGTGTAGTTTGAACCGTGCTTACTCTGCAGCATGCGCATGCATCGTGCGTACCGAAAACATGTATAAATGTAGGTTGCAGTAACAGCGTGCGCAAATATCCTCACCGTGTAAACAGTGCACACACACTGTACACACACATATTCATCCAGAATAAACACATACATATCTTGCACATCTGTATATGAAGTGCTGCCATTCTGATTACCGTTTCCTCAAGCAAGTGCCACACGTATGGGCACCATAGGACACGTCCTCCAAACACGAGTTCCAGTTTTTTTTTTTTTTTGGGGGGGGGGTGCCGCTCATGATGCCTTCAGGGCAGGTCTGGTTTGGCTTGCCGATCTGGGATGGAACCACAGCATCCGGATCCTGACTGCTTTGTTTCAGCAGGCACTTAAACAACTGAGCTAATGGGCACCCCCCCCGGGGGGTTCCAGTTCTTGAGGAGCAGGAAATGCTAAGTGAAAACCCCCACCAGCACGTGTGGCCCTCACCCACGGAGGCATGCCAGGGCAGACTTGTAGGCTGTGCGGGTCGCTATTCAAGGAAAAGCAGAGCGTGGACGCACATTTCAAAAATCTCCTGGAAGAACACTTCTCTGGGAAGGCGTTCACAAGAAATTGCTAAACTTGTTGTCTTGGAAGTACATCTCGGGAAGGCTAGAGGAACCTTTCCCTCCACACACACATCCTTTTACTCCTGCCACGAAATTTATTTTTTTCAGGAACATTGAAGGAGCTAGAGGTGTAGTTCAGCGGTGCTTTCCTAACTTGTGTGAGACCTTTTGTTTGATCTCCAGCACCACAGTAACAACCAATCATACCCGAAGAAGCCATTTTTTTGTAATGTATTTAGTACAGGGTCTACGGGGTTTCACTACACAGTTTGGACTCATAGTGATCCTCCTCTTTTCAGCCTCCCAGGCACTGGGATTACAGGTGCACCCCGGACCCCCGTCCCTACATAGGCCTGCAGGCGCTTGCTGAGCTCTCTGACTGGCCCCAAAAAAGCCATCTTTGTCTGGCCACCTGAGGTCTCCAGGTGTTTACCGTCTGTCAACTGATAACTCTAGGATGTAGGTTGGACTATTTATTTTGTTTTGACTACTGCGCAGAGCTCAGGGCCTTCACACTGACACAGTGAGGTATAGTGCTAGCCTTTTTTTTTTTTTTTTTTTTGGCAGAACCAGGGATTGAACTCAGGCCCTTGCACATAGCAGGGAAGTGGTTATTCCACTGAGCCATCTCCCCAGCCCATGCTAGCCAATTTTATTATTTGTTGTTATTGAGACAGGGTCTGCCTAAGCTTGTAGCCCAGGCTGGACTTGAAAAAAAAAATTGAGTCTCTTCATGCACTTTAGTCCAGCCCAAACTCACTATATAGCCCAGAGTGCCCTCAAATTCCCAGCAATCTTGCTCCACTTAGACCTGCTGGGCTTGAACTTTCAGTCCTGACCCAGCCTCCTAGAGTGCTCCTAGTCTGGAAGTTTTTATTCCCATCCTGGGAGAAGTAAGAAATACATGATTACGAAAGAATTTGAGTCCAGGTGTGGTGATACATGCCTGTAATCCTAGCTACTAGGAAGGCTGAGGCAGGAGGATCACAAATTTGAGTCCAGGCAGGGGAACTTAAGAATTTAGCAAGCTCTTCTCTCAAAATTTAAAAAATAAAAAGGGTTTGGGATGTACCTTATTGAGAAGACCCTGAGTTCAGTCCCCAGTACTGTAAAAAAATTACAATAATTAAAAAATAAAATTGGCCGAGAATGTAGCTCAGTGGGAGACTCCTGGGATTGACCCTTGCACACTCATGCCCACACCAAACAAATGAAGTTGAGTATTGGGTACAAATTTCTTTGCGGGATAATGGAAATGTTCTAGAATTAGGGTAATATTGCACAACTGTAGGTATGCTAAAACATTTGCATTAAACAAATGAATTTTATGGTGTGTAAATTATGTTTCAATTTAACATGAAAATGGAGGGAGCTGAAGCCCTCAGAAATTGGCATCTGGGACTCAGAAGATAGCTTGGATAATCCTGTTGTGGGACAAAAATATTTCCTTGATCTGTTCGTGACACACCAAAACGTGTGCCTGGAGCAGGATGCAAGTGTACTGAGCAAGCGAGAGGGAATTAAGAGACAAAAATGAGCAGAGAAGCAGGCAAGTCAGGGTCAGCATCTGGAGCTGTACAATCAAGTAAAGTTATTAAGAACACGGGGACTGCTAAAATTTTTCTTTCAAAATTTTATTATTTTTTTTTCAGAACCAGAGATTGAACTCAGACCCTTGTGCTTGCCAGGGAAGCACTTATTCCACTGAGCCATCTCCCCAGCCCCTATTAGTGTATGTTTGAGATGTAGAAATTACTATAATTTCCTGATCATTTTGAGCATTATTTCACTTCCTTTTCTCTGATCTTCTAATTTCTTTTTTGGTGGAACTGGGGATTGAACTCAGGCCCTTGCACTTGCAAGGAAAGCACTTATTCTACTGCGTTATCTCCCTAGCCCCATGATCTTCTTTCTCTTCCCCAAAGCCTACCTCCACTTCCTACCATTTCTTTACTCATTAATTTGCATTTTTGGATTTTCCATATAAGAGGAACCATGTGATATGTAACTGTAACTGATTTATTTCACTTAACACGATGGTCTCAAAATACAGCAATTTTCCTACAAATAATTTCTTTCTTCATGACTAAATAATATTCCAGTGAATATACATACCACATCTTTATCCTTTCTTCTGTTCATTGGCATCTAACGTACTTCCAGAGCTTTGTTATAGTGCACTGTGCTGTTACAAATATGGGTACACATAGATCACTGTAGTATGATGTCTTTTTTTTTTCTGCAGAACCGGGGATTGAACGCAGGCCCTTGCGCTTGCCAAGGAAGTGCTTATTCCACTGAGCCATCACCCCAGCCCGATGTCTTTAATTCTTTGGGGAATATACCAGAGAGGTATAGTTAGGTCAAATGGAGGTATAGTTAGGTCAGTTAGCCAAACAAGAGGAGGTGAAAAACCTCTATAACCAAAACTATAACTCTGAAGAGATTGCAGAGGGTAATTAGAAAATAAAGATATCAGGGGCCTGGGAGATAGCTCAGTAGAATAAGCGCTTGCCTGGCAAGCACAGGCTCCTGAGTTCAATCCCCAGTCCCGCAAAAAAAAAAAAAAAAAAGAAAAAGAAAAGAAAGATATCCCCTGTTCCTGGAATAGTAAAATTAATCATTAAAATGGACACATCAACTAAAGCAGTATTTAGATTTAATTCAATACCTATTAGAATATCAACATCCTTCTCAGAACTGGAAAAAGTCATAAAATTTATATGGGGCTGGCCAGATTATATAAATATAAATTTGTATTAGGCCAGCTCAGTGGACAAAAGCGCCTGCTTAGGCAAAGCAAAGCAGCCGGGGCTCAGTCCCCGTGTGCTGTGCCAGCCCTGCCTCTGGGCCTGCTGAGAAGGTAACTGAAACTGGGCATGGTGGCATGTGCCTGTAATCCCAGTGCTTGGGAGGCTGAGAGCAGGAGAATCACTAGGAGTCCGAGTTATGTAGTGAGACCTGTACACCCTGTACCAAATCCATAAAAAAAATTTTTATATGGAAGTAAAAGAAACAGAATAGTCAAAGCAATCCTGAACAAAAAGAGCAAAGTGGGAGGAATCACGTTTGGAATTCAAATTATATTATGAAGCTATAGTAACAAAAATAGCATGATGACAAATAGCTCAGCAGGATTAAAGCGCTTGCTTAGGCAGATGCAGGGGCTGGGAGTTCGATGCCTGGGCCTGCTGGCCCCGCCCCTGGGGCACCCTGAGACAGTAATTGAGACTGGATGTGGTGGCCCATGCCTGTAATCCCAGCACTTGGGAGGCTGAAAACAGGAGGATCACTACGAGTCTGATCTACATAGTGATATCCTATAACCCTGTCCTACATACAAAAAACAAAAAATAGCATGATAGTGCCACTAAAATAGAGAAATGGAATAGAAAACACAGAAATAACCTGAAAAGGGGCCAAAAAAAATACACTGAGAAAGCCTAAGAAACAAGTACTTCAAATTGAAAAGCTTCTGAACAGCAAAAGAAACAAAATCAAAAGGGTAAAGAAACAACATAGGGAATGCTGTGAGGGATTCAAATTCACTTTTCTTTGTAGCTTTCTCAGTACTATCTTTGTCTTTCCCTCAATGGTTTATAAAGCTGCTTATCATATATTAAATTCATATATACAAAGACTTGCTTCTGACCTGATCTTTTTTTTTTGGCGGAACCGGGGATTGAACTCAGGCCCTTGTGCTTGCCAGGCCAGCGCTTATTCCACTGAGCCATCTCCTGGCCCCCTCTGACCTGATTTTGCTAGTTTCTGCATTTTGTACTGATTTACGGTGACTTACTGTCTGCAGTTCATGCTTCTCATTTTCTGTATGTATGGTGCTAATGACTGACCTTAGGGCCGTGTGCATGCTAAGGACACGTTCTATAAGTGAGCTACATTTTCAGGCCTGAGTACTTTTAAAAATTGGGCTGAGACATTAGTTATGCCTGTATTAATCTATTTTACAGTGTTTTCTAGTTCTCCCATCCTCAAATCCTAACATTAATTGGAATTAAACTCAAAGATTAATTTGAGATTTCATTTTTAATAACACTGCCAGACCATCCAGGAATACAACATATTTTGTTCTAAATGAAGTTTCTTGGCTTTCCCCCATTAATTTCCTAAAAATCTTTACTCACAAGGTGAATACCTTACAATCTACTTGTTTTGTGCTATAATGGCAGAATGAAGCAGTTGTTAGAGACCACATGATCTGCAAAACCTAAGACAGTTACTATTTGGTCCTTTACAGGAAGTCTTTAATTCATAATTTATACTTAAGAATCGATAATTTTAAAAAATAGTGGTGGTAATTTTAGTTCCTGGATCCTAATTTTCCTTCGAAGTGCAACTGGATCACTGGCAAAAAATGTCAAACTTTGCTTTAAGTGATGAGCCCATTTGTGAGCTAGTTCTATCATTAATGGTTATGCACGTTTTCCACAACTTTGTAAGTGCTTATGGTTGGTATTAGTACATATTGGCTATACAGGTTGATGGTTTTCCTTTTAGCATTCTTCCGTGTACATAACATACTTGGATCATTTCGACCTCATCAATCTCTTGGCCCCACCCACCCACTAGTTCCATATTTCGGGCAGGGCTTTCAATGAATGACTATATATAAATCTAAAACTGCATGTATTAATAATAAACCCAATGCTATACATACTTCTAATGAAAAGTGAGAATAACTCAAATTTGTGATGGCATTCAAATTTTTGCCAATCTCTTTGGCTTAGCAGAAGATAGTCACGTATCTACTTTTGTATTTGATGTGTTGCAATAGGTGTTCTGGTCAAAGCATATGAAATACTATGGCTCAAGGACAGGATTCAGAGCTCTAGAATCCCCAAGCATGTGAGGGGCTCCAATGGGAACGGTAGTTCTGTGTCCCTTCCCCATTTCTCTCTTGATCTAGCCATTCATCAGTATCTTTCACCATATTTTTTTGCACTGGTAACAAAGAGTAAATGTATCCCCCTGAGTTCTGTGAGTCACCCTAAAAATTAATCAATCTCAAGAAGGGGTTGTGAAAACCTTGATGCTGTAGGTCAGAAACACAGGTAAACAACTTGGAGCTGGCGATCAGCATCTGAGGTTGTGTTATGAGTTATAGCCTTGGAGACTGAGCTATCTCCAGTTAGTATCAGAACTAAATGGTATAGGACAATCAGTGTCAGCCTTCTGTAGAAGTGACTGCTTGCTTAGGACGTGAGGAAGAAATCCAATTATTTAATCACAGAAATCCATGTTGATCGACAGCATAGAAAAACTGAATTTAGCTTTTTCCTCAATATTCTCACAGACATTTATTAAACTCAAAAAATTCCAAGGCTGGGGATGTAGCTAGTAGCAGAAATTGCCTACCACATACAAGGCCTTGGTTCAAAAGATGTTTAAAATCATAAATATGAGCCAGGTGTGCTGGTGCATGTATGGAATTCTAGTAATCAGGAGGCTGAAGCAGGAGGATCATTGTGATTTTGAGGCCAGCCTAGGATACATACTGAATTTAAGGCCAGCCTTAACAACACAGTGAGACCCTGTCTCAAAACACACACAAATCATAAATAGATAATATTTGTAATCCACAAAATCCAACTAATTCTAAATTTTCATCATGCATAGTTTAAGTGATTTCTTAAGAAGTCACTTTAAAAGCCGGATGTTCAAAAAAAATTCAACAGTCAAATACATTTTGGCAAATCTTTTTACACAAATTTTTCGTTTGGTTTTTTAGCCACTTTAGCAATATAACATCATATATTCTAACTGGAAATAGAATAAACTGTATTAAAAATGTAATCCTATTGCTTAGTAGTAATGATTATCACTTCTTAGCAGTAAGAAGCATTATTCTTAGGTGTAAAATATTTTATTTTCTGACAATAATTAGCAATGTGACCTGATCTACCTAGTTTTTGATCTACCCTTAATCAAGTTGTAAACTAAACAAGACATGATGGGAACACTAAAGACTAGCTTTTTATTTATTTAGGTAACAGGAATTGAACTCAGGGCCTTGTGCGTGCCAGGTAACCGCTGTGCTACTGAGCTACAGCCCAGCCCAAGATTAACCTTTTATTTTTTATTATTTTTATTTTTGTATTTGGGGGAAGGGTCTACAGGGTGTTCAGGGTATCACTACTAGATCGGACTCAATGATCCGCCTGTTTACCGCCTCCCAAGAGCTGAGATTTCAGGCATGTGCCACCACACCCGGTCTCAAGATTAGCCTTTTAAAAGTGGGCAAGTTGGCCAGAAATGTATTCACTTCACTTATAGGTCTTTGCATAGTACAAAAGCAGCTCTGTTCAATGTGACTTTGGCAATCTGAGATCATTCTGGACAACTGAGTTACTTTTAGAGCATGTGTTCAGCACAGGTTTGCAACAAATTTGCTTGCTGATAGATGTAACCCCATATTTGGAATGTGATTGAATCAATTCATCCAGTTCAGAGAGTCAAAAACAAACATAAAAAATGGAAAACATCTCTTAATATTTTTTTAAAGATTCAAAGTTTCAGGAAATTACCATGAAAGTTGAGTTAAAATGTTATAAACAGTTTGAAAAGAATCAACTGTATACATTGTTCAAAGCTGATTTATATTTTATTTTCTAATTGCAGTAGTTTGCATGATTTCTTTACAGTATTACACATGGTGAGAAAAGAAACCTCTAAACCAGTCACTAATTAGTCATCATGAACCTGTAGTAAAATGGTTCATTAAAACTTAAAAATGAAATATTTCCATAGCCATCAATACTAGTAACTATAAACTTTCTATAAAGAAATATAGCAGTTGGTATTCTATAAAATATCTTCAAGCAACTTTGAGACTTCTTAGTCTTACACTAAAATTTTAAATAAGGTTGGGAGCAATTATTTGTGTCCACATGAATATACAAATATATATTCTACATGTTCCTTCTATTATAGGAAAACTACAAGCAAAAGATATGGTAAATAGAGAATACAGAAGACATGCACTTTACACAGTCCTCGACGTCGAAGTGGAAAAGAGGAAGACACTGTTCTGTGCATCACATATACAAACATTTACATTATGAATCCAACAATACTGTGAGGCAGGTACCCTTCTGATCATCCACATCTTATAGGTTCAGAGCCTGAATCTGAGACAAGCTAGAGAGAGCACTTGTGGTTACCCACAGGAGAGGGCAAAATGGGGTTGTGGTACAGGACACTGGACCCCAAGGGTCTCTGCCTTTCCCTTTCTAGCACACTGTCTTACTGGGGGTGGGGAGGAAAGTCCAATCCACTCTCCAAATCACTCAGTTCATTTTTTACCTGAGAGTCTAGTACTTTTTCCACACCTGTACTAAGACTTAATTTAGAAGCTCTTCTTTCCTGAGTAGGAAAGAAAAAAAAGCAAGGATAAAAAGCACAGTGGTTTCACTGAGATGCTAAGACAGGAATACAAGTTTGAACCTAGCTCTGGCAACTTAGCAAGACTTCATCTCAAAACTGAAATGAAAAGGGAGGACTGGATTAAGCTAAACCAAAGACACAAAGTAGTCTGAGATTTGTGGATATTCCCAACGATGTGCTGAGCAGTATAAACATCTGGGTTGGGTGTGGTTTTTGTTTTTTGGTTTTTTTTTTGTCCTTTTGAGACAGGGTCTCCCTATGTAGTTCAGGCTGACCTTGAGCTCACTTTGTAACCCTGGCTTGTCTTGACCTTACAAAGATCCTCCTACCTCAACCTCCAGAGTGCTGGGATTAGAGACATGTGCCACCACATCCCGCCAGATATCTTAAACCAAAACAAATCCATTTAATTGTTTGTGTCAGGTAACACAAAGAGCCTCATTTTTGTTCTTATGCTTTTATCTGTCAGGACACAGTCAATACTGGATGTTGTTAAATCTATAAACAAAGAAAAATCAAGTAAAAATCTACCTAAGTATTTTAGTCAAAACATGCTTTTATCTATTTGATTACTCAAGAGTTTCTCTGAAGTCAACACTGACAGCAGTTTATACCTACTAACGATGTTATTCAACATCATAGTGTAATATTTATGTAAGAAATGAGATTAAGTTAAATTACAAGTCACACAGTTTTTAAGCAGCTATTTATAGCCATGATTCCAGATATGATGAGAAAACCAATGGCTATTTTTCATTAAAATATAAAAATTTTCATCATGCATAGTTTATAGACTTCTTAAGAAGTCACTTTAAAAGCTGGATGTTCAAGAAAGATTCAACAGTCAAGTAAATTTTGGCAAATCTTTTTACACAAATTCCTCATTTGGTTTTTTAGCTACTTTAGTAACGTAACATCATATATTTTAACTGGAAATAGAATAAACTGTATTAAAAATGTAATCCTATCAGTTAGTAGTACTGATTATAACTTCTTAGCAGTAAGAAGCATTATTCTTAGGTGTAAAATATTTTATTTTCTGAGTATTGCTTATAGCACTTTATTATGGGAGCCCCCCCAAAAAAACAACAAAAACATCAAACAAAACAAAAAAGGTTTTCTTGTAGACCACTTCCATTCCTTATTTGAAACATAATCAAATCAGGGAAGCTATACAAATTTTACATCAAATACATTTCAAAGAATTTCTCAAATTAGCACTATGTATGAGCTACAACTGTGCCTCAACTATTTTAATTATGATTCTATATTTTCCAGGATGTAAACAGCACTAGATTGGGCTGTTATTACCAACACATGAAAATATCTACCACCAGCAGGTACATGAATTGGGGTCATAGTAAGTTGTTTTTTTTTTTTTTCATAGTAAGTTTTTAAAAACTCTTAAACTGTATTTGCTAGAGGAGATAAGCAGAAAACCTGATTTTTTGAGTTGCATTATCCCTAACAAAACTGTAGCACATATGTAGAGTTTAAACATTCTTTGTAAAATCACATGTAAGGATCTATATACACTGTAAATTTAGCAAAACATTTTTAGGCATACAAGCATAAATATCCCAAGCTTAGGTTACTGAGGAAGACAATTGCCAAGTTGTTCAAGGATGGTTTCTTCTGAGTTATTAAAAACCAGCCCTTGGTCTTAGCTGCATTCCACCTAGGTAAATGCACAGAAATTCCATAGAATAAGAAACAGGAATCACAAACATACACTGTCATAATGTTTATAGTACCTCATATTTTGAATTCAGTTTGCGTACTTAGGAAAGAAAATTAGCTGCAGTGGGATTTTAAATGAGCTTGTTTATTTGCTGTGTATTACTTTTCATCACTGAAAAGTTCTCTGGAGAGCAACATAGTGAAAGTTCCACCAGCGACGTGATGGATGGATGTGCTTTAAGATGACAATGACAGGGATGTAGCTAGTGAGGTGGGGCTAGCCCAGCCCTGACTTCCTTTTATTAGAAAACCTGAGAAATACAATAAAGGTAAACCTAAATTCCCAACAAAAACACCAATCAAATTTGCCCACATATTGTAATCTTATTGTATTATAGTGAGGATATAATCTACTCTGCAGCACAAATATTTTACTGCATTTCTCATCTCATGGTAGCTCTCTCTTCCATCAGAAATTATTGATCTTTTTTTTTCTCCCAGTATTGTACTGAAGATCAAACCTAGGGACTTTTCACTGAGCTATACCCCAGCACTTAAATGCTTATAAAGCATTCACAATTCCAACTCCATGCATGACTTCTGAAAGTTAATATTTTTAAACAAATCTTTTTTGTTCTGTAAAATAGCCTACATATATGATCAAAAAAAACCTCTTATTTGGGAAATTTTTTTAGCACAGTAATTAAAAAACAAAACAAAGCACCTCAACGGTCACATCACTATTTCCACTGTTAAGTGGGTGCCACCTAGTGTTTAATTTGTATAACTAACCTTACAAATTCAAAATTGGTATTAAAACCCAGGTTCTAAAAACATTTGGGAAATGCTTCCCCCAGCCCATGCATATGATGGCAAAACAAAATCATGAGAACAATGTAATGATATCAAAATTAGCGTAAAAATAGCCATGTTACTAAGGAGGGAAAACAAATCTTTTTAAAATCAAATGCAGATATAGGCCTCCTATAAATCTTATCAAAATCTTGAGGGAACATTTACATAATGAGAATATAGAGAAAGATTCTACATATTCAGTAGGCTAGTCAAAAGTTAGGGGTTAATCATAATCTATAATGAATACAAGGCAAGTGGTTTATTCAAAATGTCCATTTACTTACTGGAAGTGGTCAAAGCAGGAAAGGCAGTAATGAATTAACTTGAAATACAAAGGGTTTTCTATCCATAAGCTCCATTATATCAATAGAATAAAATGGGATTAACATGTCAGTTAAGGTAATTTATTATTAACAGATTTTACAGAAACAAATACCTTAGAACCAAATCGAACTGCCTTAATAAATTACAATCATGCTAATGAAAACTTCTTCTTGGAGGGTTATGGCCAAAATCCAAATTGTAGGACAATCTTCTGAAAAAGTGGAATGTAAAACGTTGGGTTCAATTTAGATCTGAAAGGGAACAGAACATCAAGTTAAAAGAAAAGAGTATTTCCAATGTACTACATATAAATGGAACTTTCACTGCATTAGGCTATCTGGGAAACAGGTATTTCTCAATTCTGGGATGCTGGCAGTGTTCTTTATGTCCTGTATAATGCTGCATGTTATAAAGCATTTGTTTTTTGCAGTAGTGGGTATGGAACACAGGGTCTCGCACATGCTAAGCAAGCACCCTACCACTGATGAGCTTCACCCCAGCCCTTTTAAATTTTTAAGTAGAAAGTTTCACTTAGATGCCCAGGCTGGCCTCAAAATTGCTATCCTCCTGAAGTGTGTGTTAATAGAGATTAAATTCTGTTATTACAGGCATGTGTCACCATAGCTGGTGGGAATACGCTGAATGAAGTTTAGTATTTCTTTCTTTGGTTGCTAGTGATTGGAAATTTTAGTTTAAGAACCTGACAAGTATGTCCTAAAATCACTTCTAGTTAATATAGAAGTATACAGGTAGGACACCTACAAACCATCTGGAGAATGGCTCCAGGAAAATGGGTTCTCAGCGCCACAGCACTTTCCTCTGCGGCAGGTCCTCCGCCATGCTGCTTCTGCCTTGTACAAAAACCCTTAAAAACATGAGCCCAAATAAACCTTTCCTCCTTAATTTGTTGGTGTTAGGCACTGAGTCCCAGTAATGAGAAAGAGGCTAATATACTACTAGCAACAGCTTAGTCACAAGAATTTTCTTGGCTCAAGATCTCCAAAGTGAAATACATTAGAAATTATGTGCTCTTTTCTATCTTTTTTAAAGTGCTGAAGACTGAACCCAGGGACCTATGCATGCTAAGCACATGTTCTACAAATAAAATAAACCCCTAGCCCTTTTAAAATGAGTATGTTTAGTCAGGCATGGTGGCTCACGCCTGTAACTTCAGCACTCAGGAGGCTGAGGTGGGAGGACCACTGCAAGTTCAAGACCAGCCTGGGCTATAAACTGAGCTCAAAGTCAGCCTGGACTGCAGAGTGAGACCCTGTCTCAAAAAGACAAAAACAAAAAGAACAACAACAAAAAACACCTAAGAGTATCTTTGTAAAAATGGTACTATGCTTAAAAGGTCACAGGTACATATGCATTGGGGCTTGGTACTCAGATTCTCCATGCTTTGGAGATGCATCAAAATCTAAGACTAAGGATAAATTTAGGGATGGCTAAGAGATAAATCTAGTGTTTGCAGGTTTCAGTTCCACAGATTCAACAACATACAGGAAATATTTGAAGAGATAATGTCTGTATTCTGTACATATTTTTTCCTGCCCTTATTTCTCAAAAAATACAGCCTATTTAGCATCTATAGGGTATTAGGTATTATTTAGAGGCAACTTAAAATATGTGGGCTTATATATGTGGCATGTGCAAGCACTGCAAGTTTGTTTTTCTCCTTCTTTCCTTCTATCCCTAGGCCCTTTTTAAATTTTAAAAATTTATTTCATTAAATATTACTATCTTGGTGATATTGGGAATTGAACTCAAGTTTTACACTGAAGTACAGCAGTACCTTGGCCTTACAATTTTGGGCAAGGTGGCTATATCTGCATGGAGAAGATGGCCTTGGTCATTTCACCCAATGTAGAGTTTGTGAATGAAGCAAAATTCTGTCAAATGCTTTTGTTTGTGAACAGAATGAATTTCTTTGCAAACAGAAGCATTCATGAACTGAGGTATTAATGTACAATGCTTAGTCTTTTTAAAATTCAGACAATGTCTCTCTAGTGATCCTCCTGCGTCATCTGCCAGATTGGTATGATCACAGGCATGCACCATCACGGGCAGCTTCAAATACTACAACATTTGCTTTCTAGCATTTTGTTCATGTTTTTTAATCACTAACCAGTCTAATTACTTAGAAACAGAACAACCAAAAACTTCATGTTTTTTCATTAATTTTTATAATAGGAAACATAAAAACAATTTTATCAAATTTATTCAATATAAGAATCAGGTGGTTGAAATGACACCTGCAGGACTAGTAAGACAAGAACACAAGATCTTCAGGGTGGAGAAAATCCTCAGTATGGTAGACATACATCATTTTACCCTTGCCCCAACTCATGGATATTACAGGACCAACAGTGAACCCCAGTGTCAGCCGTAGACTAGTGATGTGCTAATGCCTAGCGCTAAGCAGACTGACAAGTGAAGGCTGAATATTTTGATACCTAGACAATCCAAAGGAACATATTTTAAACCATTGTGAGAATTAAAAGACTACTTAAAATAGCTGAATAAGCTGAGTAAAGATGAAGTGAAAACACAGGATTAAAAATCAGATGTAACAAATTGAAGGCAAATAGCAGATGTTGTAACATTTGAAGTCTAATTATAGTAACAGGCTATGTTGATGTAAAAAATTATCATTATGCAACAAAAATATGACACAACTCTATATTGTCTAAGAAATATTCTTTAATGTAGATAAGTTGAAAGTGAAAAGATGGGAAAAGGTAGACTATGCAAAGTTAAGCACTACAGAAGAAACATACGTAGCTATGTTAGTAAATACATAGTGAACTCATTTGTTGCATTTATAGTACCAGCTTATCTTAGTTTGTTGAAAAGAAAGTTTTGTGTTATTATGTGTTTTTTCTTTGTAAAAATCTCTTTTGTCTGTTTTGTACTCTGAGTAACTACTTTGAAGATAATGACATATAGTGCAACATTGTTCTCTTACTTTATGGAATCTTGTCTTTTTAATAAATAAAAAATAGAGGAAGATTGCATAATGAAAAAAAAAGTACAACATTTACATAAGGGACCTGAGGTTCCATGTGTGTATGTGTGCCCTTGACTCAATACCCTGATGTAACTACAGAACCATGTGGTGTTTTTGCCTGAATCAGACCTAAGAAAGACTCGCCTTGGTATCTCTGGAAAGTTCTGGTAATACTATTGCACATTTATGATTAGGAACAACTGCACTAGAAATTTTGAAATTATATCATTGAATAAAACAAAAGAGTATTACTTTGGGGTTTTTACACATGGGTGCTTTCTGAACTATATTTTACATAGAGGGCTCAAACCAGATTTAACAAGTTCTAATGGCTTGAATTACCAGTGGTGTATGCATGACTGTCCCATTGGTTGGCTTGTACCACTGGTGGTACAAATGGATCTAATCACTTGAATCAGTGATACTAATAAAATAAAAAGCCATTTGATGGGACAGTCACTTATGTACTACAGGTGGTTCAAGTGTCCCAGCAGCAAGACATTTAAATTACAGCCTTACATGTGAACATGTATGAGTAACTGGGTACATCAGTTGCTAAATTTATATTGTATTTCAGTGAAGTTTGAATTTCACTGAAATACAATAACAGCAGAAGAACACTCTTGTGGGCACTACTACTTTAGTAGGAAAAACAATACATTTTCCTCGAAATAAACATAACCAAACCAGGAGCTTACCAACAGTGTATACTCAACAGATAAATCATTTTAACAAGGTTTTCAATGAATGTTCTAATTTCAGTGTTTCAATATTAAGTTCGTTCAAACAAGATTATTCTTAAACATACTAATGCCTCACTTGAGAAGCCATGTACTTTCGAATTATATTTCTCAGATGTCTCCTCCATTTCATTTTCTTTGCAGTGTTAGGAATCAAGCCCAGGGCCACTGCACATTCTACCACTGAGCTAGCTAGAGCCTCACCCCAAAATACCCTTAACTTATGATTGGAGGACCTGACATTCATATTGCCAAGCAAAACGCTGATTTGTTCTTAAGAAATAATGAAGGGGAATGTAAGAATTCTTAAAGTATAAAGAGATTGGCTGCTTTCTAAATACTGAGGAATTTAAATAACGGACAAGTCTCAAAATATATTTTTTCAAGTGTCCCACATTCCGAGAACTAAAAGAACTATGGAGAAGGAGCTAGTTTCTCTATGGATAACTTACAAACAGAAATCAGAAAACCAGGGTGCATCTACTCACATCATCAATGTCTTCATCATCATCTCCAATGTCATCAAACTGAATTTCATCATCATCTCCAGGACCAAATGTATCAGTTTCATTGATCTTAGCTGGAAACACAAGAAACATATAATCAAAAGGTTACTACAAGGAGTAATTGCCCACTATAAGAACTATAATACTTTGAGAACAAGTACTAAAGTATAAAAGGAAATTCACACAAGCCAACTTTGTAATTTAATCAGTTTTCATTTTAAGAAATACCTTCCAAACCCTGCATCTACCAAATCTACTACACACAGCAAATTATTATTCACCATTTCTTCAATGGGCAATGCTCTATTAAGATGAAGAGTTTAATTTTTTTGGCTGCTTACATAAGTATTTTTAATTTGCAGCCAAGGCTGGTAATAATTGCCAGTTCTAAAATTATGTTATCTTCTAGGCATGGTTCAAAGATAGTTCTAAACAGCTGGATGTAGTGACACATGCCTATAATCCCAGTACTTGGGAGGCTGAGGCAGGACTGCCAAGAGTTGAGGCCAACGTGGACTACACAGAGTTCACGCCAGCCTGAATAGCATAGTGAGACCCTGTCTCAAAAAAATAAAAAGTTCTGAACACATGCGACCCACTTTATTTCCTTGAGATAATAGCTGGTTTAGACACATCAGAAAGATGCAATAAAAAAGGAACTAGAATATGTTAGTCCTTTCCAGATATCAATAATTCATAAATCATAAATGCTAATAGCCTCAAAATAATTGACAAGGCTTACAAAATAATATATAATGCTTGGCAGCACATACACTAAAAAAATAGCTCATAATGTATTTTCTCTCATGAAATGATGACAGATTTAAGTTGTCTATATTAAGAATGCATTTAAGGGCTGGCCAGATAGCTCAGCAGATTAAAGTGCCTGCTTAGGCAGATGCAGGGGTGCGCTGAGATGGCGATTGAGACCAGGCTTGGTGGCATGAGCCTGAAATCCCAGTGCTCGGGAGGCTGAAAAGCAAGGATCCCTACAAGTGCAATCTGTGGAGCAAGACCTGTACTTAATACATTAAAAAAAAAGAATGCACTGTTTTTGTATTTACAAGGGGAAAACAAAGAATATTAGTTTTAAAAACTGTGGGTCACTAAGATACAAGGATAAAATGGATTGAAAACTCAGTTTTCTTTTTTAAATGTATTTAGTACAGTGTCTACAGGGTCTCACTACACAGATGGACTTGTAGTGATCCTGTTTTCAGCCTCCTAAGCACTGGGATTACAGGCACGAACCACCACGCTCTGTCTCTGAAAACTCACTTTTAAGTTTTCTTTTTTGTGTGTGTAGGGTCTTAATAAGCAGCATGGACTCAGACTCGTAGTGATCCTCCTGATTTCTGCCTCCCTAGTGCTGGAATTACAGGCATGCACCACCACATACGGACTCCATCACCAGCTCAGTGGGCCTGGGGGCGGGGCTGGCGTGGCATGCAGTGCCAGGGATGGAACCCTGGCCCCTGCACTTACCTAAGCAAGTGCTTAGTGCACTGAGCTATATCACCAGCCCTTAAAAACTCACTTTTTAACACAAATAAATCCTGATTATTTTTTGAAAAGTTGCATTATAGTCCAGGCTCATCCCAAACTTTGAATTTTTCTGCCTCAACCTCTTGACAATGGGATTACAGGTATGTGCCACTGCATTCAGCAGGAATTATCTTTAAAAAATATTTCTGTGGTGCAGGGCATTGAATCCAGGGTCATATGCATGCCAGGCAAGCAGCCTACCACTGAGCCACACCCCTGGCCCTTCATGAAGGAATTTAAAAATATTAGTGTAATAAAAATAATTCCTTTGTCTGGTATCATGCAGAAACCCAGGACTTAGAAAGTATAACTCCTTACTTCAGGTGTATTTGTCAGAAACAGAACTGTAGTAATTTTTTTGGAATAGTATCTAGTATACTACAATAAATAAATCTCCACATTTCCATGAAAATCCCTTTTACCTAAGCACCATCTGACAAGTCAATTTAACTCAGTCATTACCATGCTCAGGAAGTTCGCCATATGCTTTTAGACTCCTCGCTTCATCTGCGTTGTATTTTAGAATCACATCAGCTTTGTTGTCCTTAAATACAAACAAGTAGGTTTTAGAACCGATTATACTAAAATATTTTGTTATTTCATAAATTACTTTCAGGTTGAAAAAAGCCCTCAATGCTTCATTATAAACCCTTCTCTCTTTCTTTAAATTTTATAGTTTTAGGCCAGATATGGTGGGAGTCCCAGGCCAGTGAGATTGAAGACCAGTCTGAACGATACTTGGAAACCCTGTCCTAACAAACCAAACTAACAATAACAAAAACTTTTAGTCTTCCATCCCTGAAAAAGGTCCTTGTGTTTAAGCCAGAAGAAGGTTACATGCACAATTTAATAATGACTAAATGTATCTACAGATCTTAAATATACAAACTCAAATGTTTTGGGGTATTTTCTATTACCCTTAGTATACAAAAGATCCCTGGCACCATCATTTGCAGGTTGATCAAAAAATGCAATTAAAAAATTGAGTCTTTGCTATCACTGAAGGAAATCTACATGCCTTTCCAGATAGCTGTACTTCTTAGGTTATGTATCTATCATAATCTTCAGGAGTTTCCACACTTCATGAAAATTAGGGGATATGAAGCCTACATATGTTTTTTAGGTATTGTCTAGAGCTGCTGAAGCTGGAAATGGGTCATATGAGTGAGAGCAGCAGGACAAGGTCACAGTTCCTAAAGCAGTCAAACTACCTCAGTCTTGAGAAAAGCATCCTGCCTGGAGAATTCCAGTCATTAGTTACTAGGCAACCATGTGTCTCCTGATACTAACTTTGCAAAGGTATAAATAAATGCCCCTATAGTTGTTCTTTAGGTCCACAGACCAGCACCTGACCTAAGTTATTATCTCTTGTCTCTTTTTTCTTTTTGAGATAGGGTCTTGCTATAGTTCAGGCTGGACTTGTGCTCACTTCTGTAGCCCAGGCTGGTCTTGAACTCACAGCGATCCTGTCTCAACGTCCTGAGTGCTGGGATTACAGACACGTGCCATCAAGCCTGGTTCTGTGGCCAGCATAGCACACCTGTGTTGGTGCACTGGGGTTCTGGGGCCGGTACAGCATGTGGGGTTGGGGATCCAACTTGGGACCCTGCGCTTGCCAGGAAGGTGATTAAGCCTCTGCGCTATCTCCCCAGCCCCTTATTTTCTAAATACTCTCACCATTTTGCTGTTTTCTTCTGGGGACCACCAAGAGACTTAATGAGTCCCCACAGGTATTTCTGATGTAAATGTCTCACTGAGAAATACTACTTTAACCTTAGTATTTCTTTTTTCTTTTTTTTTGCGGAACCGGGGATTGAACTCAGGCCCTTGCGCTTGCCAGGGAAGCACTTATTCCACTGAGCCATCTCCCGGCCCTCACTGAGAAATACTACTTTAAAATGTTTACTTTTCCATTGGAAAAGAACTTCAGCTAGGGATGAAAAATGAATGAAGGGCAATGTCATTCAAACTAGAACTTTTTAAATCATCAAGGATATAGAAGTCCAGGGAGATCTTGGTAAGATGCTTAATTTGATTAAAGAAGCTTAGGATGGGAGGGGGTCCAAGAATCTTCAGTTCTACTAAGTTCCCAAGACAGTGACGTTACAGACCACCCTTTAAATAGCAGGGTTACAGAAGGAAGATCATGTAAGATTACATAGAATTTTATCCTTTCAGAACTTTGGTGCTAATAGGGAATTATTCTTCCTACTTCTGAAATAAGTATTAAAATGGTTTATAAATTTAAAGTAGGCTAGGGGCTGGGTAGATGGCTCAGTAGAATAAGTGCTTGCCTGGCAAGTACAAGGGCCTGAGTTCAATTCAATCCCCGGTTCCACCAAAAAAAAAAAATTTAAAGCAGGCTTTCTGAACAAAGGTGCTAATTTTGTGCATTGCATGATATTCAATATCACCCGTGGTCTCTACTGAACGCCAGCAACACTGCTTCCTCCCCATTATGACAGCTGGAAGTCTCCAGACATTGGCAATGTGCCCTAGAAGGCATACATGCCCATAACTGAGAACCCAGATTTAAAGTGTACATTTCTTTCTTTTATTTTCTCCTTCTTGTCCTTTTTAGTATTTGGGATTGAACTCTGTACTGAGCTACATTCCCAGACCATTTCTTATTTTACTTTGAGACAGGGTCCGATTAAATTGCCCAGGCTAGGATTAAATTTGCAACCCTCCTGCCTCAGCCTCCCAGAGTGCTAGGATTACAATTGAGGGCCACTGAGATGAATTTTTTTTTATTCTGGAATGTAAGTTAATATTAAGAGTGCAATCAAGGGGCTAGGGAGAGGGCTCAGTAGAATAAGCGCTTGCGGCAAGCACAAAGGCCCGAATTCGATATCCAGTTCCGCCAAAAAAAAAAAAAGAGTGCAATCAAGGCTATAAATATACAGATACCAAATAAGGATGAGTTCCAATAGGTGGACATCAACAGATCGCAGATCTATGTGAATATAGAGTCATGGCTGTGGTTAGAAATAATTAAAGAGGGCCGGGGAGATGGCTCAGTAGGATAAGCGCTTGACGGGCAAACGCCAGGATCTGAGTTCAATCCCCGGTTCCACAAAAA